CGAGATTCTACTCTCACCGCATTGTCCATTTCAGTCCTTTTCGTCACATTGCAGTTCCTCGGTTATTACAAACATCACATATCTGTGCATGTAACAACCACCCTGAAGATCTTTCGTCCCCTGGACCACCCTGCGGACCACCCCAAAGACCTTCGGTCCTCTCCATCACACTCTGTGGACAGGGGCAGTTTGTCATTTCCCCTTGGAAGGAATCTACCTGATCCTTCGAGATTCGAAATTCCGATCTTCACGTTCGGGAGCTGTCGGCTGGAAGATCACCACGTCCGGGAGCTGTCGGCAGGAAGGTACCTGCAGTTGTCCCTTCTTACACTAAGTCATTTGATGCTCAGGCGATTCACAACTCCTGGCCGCCGAACTTTCTGTTGTGGGTGACCACAGTGTGCTTGTGCAAACTTCGGAGAAAGATTCTTTTTTTTTTCTTTTCTATGGAAAACATTCTGGCATAATTCTGCAAAGCTTTTTTTTTTTTGGCTCTTTTTTATTTATTTATGCTGACCGTCACTCTGTAGTTCCTTATCATTCTGTCGTTTATAAAGTTGTGCAGCACGTGAAAGTGCACAACTTGACAGATGGTTGCTCGACAGGTACCAGAGCTCCACAGCTTGATGATGTGTGACCCGCGGACATCTTCCCAGCTGACAACAGACTCAACAATTATCATTCTTTCAGGAATACAATACCCCACTCACAGTTCAATTGGCACTTTGGCACTGTAAGCTAGAATATCAATCAATCCCGACCAGTCATCACTTGCAACTGAACATTAAATGGCCCTTGATTAGACAAGTGGTCAGCGTTTTGGGGGCTCAGACTTCTTCTTCTTATTATTATTATTATTCTCCTTCTTCTTCTTCTTCTTCTTCTCCGGAATCTCCGCCTGCTCCTCCTCCTCCTCCTCCTTCTTCTGCTGCTGCTCCTCCTCCTCCCCTTCTTCTTCTTCTTCTCCTTGTTATTCTCCTTCTTGCCCTCCTCCTCCGTTGTCTTCTTCTTCTCCTCCTCCTCCTTCTTCTTCTTCTTCTTCTTCTTCGTCTTCGTCTTCTTCTTCTCCTTCTCCTCCTCCTCCTCCTCCTCCTCCTCCTCCTCCTCCTCTTCTTCTTCTTCTTCTTCTTCTTCTATCATGTGGACCATTTCTCGATTTACGAATGTCATCTTTGTGCTGGGGCCATGCGAATCTTCTCTGCATCGGTCCAATTTTGACGGATGTCCTTCTGGACAGGGTTTAGAACATCCGACTGTTGATGTACTCTGAAAAGGACCGATGATACGGCGAAAGACAAGAGGAGGGAAGTGATGACTGAGTCACTGACGACAAAAGTGGGCGAAGAGGGAGGGAAGTGATGACTGAGTCACTGACGACAAAAGTGGACACTACAATGGTGACCGGCGAAGAGATGAGATGAAAGCATGGTTGCATCCCTGCCGACCGCCTGAGATGAAAGCATGGTTGCATCCCTGCCGACCGCCGACTCCGACCGCCGACCGTATTGCAGACGACCAGTAGGGCCAACAGGTCGGCGGTCTGCCGACCAGCCATCCACTAATTTTTTTTCAGATCTGAGTTGGAAGCTGTACTGCGCTTGCTGAGTAGAGCCCAAATCCACTGACAGATTTTGGGGGATGGGGTTTTGGGGGAGGGGTGTATAGGGGGATATAGGGGGATATAGGGGATATAGGGGGGTATAGGGG